TGTCTCACTGATTTCTTTTTTTGACAAGAGGCTCACACTGACATTTAGAACTGGTGAGAGCACAAAAAGGGACTTCCCTTTACTTATGTAACTCTTTAAATCTTAGATATTCTTTTCTTTTCTATGTTTTTCAACATTTTTAAATCAAAATAAGACTAATTTTACAAAAACTAGCCAGAAATGGAGCTCAGTGGTAGAGCACTCACCTAGCAAGTGTGAGGCCCTGGGTTCAACTCCCAGTACCACAAATAAATAAATTAAATGGGTGCCCCTGGGAAAGTGTGAAAGTGTCCCCCTGTACTGACTCTGGGATAAGAGGCTGCACTTAGACCTCTAACAGGAGCTGAGAGGCCAAGTGGTCCCCTGGCCTGCTCCCCATCTCGGAAACAAACTTTCCAAAGACTTTGTTTGCTTCCTTTGCACCTGACATGATTTCTCTGAGTGGGAGGGAGTCTGCTTTCATTTCTCTGATTGCTAATAGTGGAACCATTAACCCTTTAGTCCAGGAGCTTTAGTCTACCTATTTTTGTATTCACTTGAGTTCCCTTTGATGGGGTCGGTTTGGTATTTGCTGCTTTTTCCTAAGAAAACCAGAAAAAACAATCTAGGCTGCTTCTCTTTGATTTGGCTTAGAACCAAGTGTGAGATTTCCAAGTGGAAAATGAACACCAACTCAAAATAGAAGCTTTCATTTCACTTTGTCCAAAATATTTTGAGTGGGTGATCAAAATTCAGTGTATGTTCTAGATATTTTTGAGTGTGCTAGTCTAATATTTATTTGTATATGTATTTATTTGTTTATTTGGTGCTGGACATTGAACCCAGGGCCTCTCACTCGCGCTCACTCTACCGCGGGACTACTTTCTACTTTTCTCGCTTGCTCATTTCTTTGACGGCGGTCTCAAGAGCGCACCCTATGGGCTGAAGGCCACAACTGCAGCAGATCACAACCGGGGCGGAATCTGCCAGCTCAGCCTCAAAGACCAGTACCCTTTATAATGCTCTTTATAATGACACTTCAACTGCCCTGAAATGAAATTCACAAGTAAGACTGCCCCATTCACACATGTAATTTCAAAATAAATCAGCATACATCATAAAGCATAATATAAAAGAGCAGACAGCTTTTTCTTTCTTTCTTTCTTTCTTTCTTTCTTTCTTTCTTTGAGCAAAAGGATTACAGTATTTGAGCTTGTGATGTCAGAGGTATGCTTTATAATAAACTGATGGGTTTGCAAGAGATGATCGTCCATTTATACTGAGAAGTGACAAGTGTCAAAGCATGCTTGACCCCACTCACTAAATGCCCATAACCCACCTCAATCAAAGTGACTAATGAAATAAATGTCTTTGATGTTTTTCCAAACTACTCCCATAGGAAGGCAATATTACTGAGCATGTCCCAGTCCTCTAGGAGGCTGAGACAGTAAGATCCCAAATTCAAGCCTACCCTGGGCAATTTAGTGACTTTAGCCTCAAAATTATAAAAATTTTTAAAAAGCTAGGGATGTAGCTCAGTGCAAAAGCCCTGGGCTCAATCCTCAGTACCACAAAAGAGAAAAAGACGATACTTCTGTCTATGTTGATCCTCACCCGTAGTTCCAGCTACTCAAGAAGCTAAGGAAGATCACTTGAGCCTAGAAGTTCAAGTCCATCTTGGGCAACATAATGAGATCATCACAAGAGAAGGCAATGCCTGTTTTTGAGACTTGCTAATTAGCTACTTAAAGTCCAGTCAAGAGAAGATCCAGGTTTTCACCAGGGCCTGAAGATGAGCCAGTGAAGGTTCCCTCGTCGATCGTGTAGGGCCCAAGGCCACGGGCTGGTCAGGAGCACAGGAGGGATGCGGGCAGGCACCCTTTCCACCTCATCCATGTGGTGGATGCTGGCTGCATATTCTCTTCTTCCATGTCCCTTTCCTCTTGAGGATCCAACTAAACTCCATTTCCAACACCAAGCAGTTTGCTTGGGTCCATGGGACTAAGCTCTGGCCAGTAGAAACTGGACAGAGGGACAATGACACTAGCAGGCCTGGTCCTCATCCTTATAAGCCAGCGACCACTCCCACAAAGCCACCCATTTTCTCTCTCTCTCTCTCTCTCTCTCTCTTCCCTATGCACCGGGACCCTCAGAGCTATGAATTAAAGACGGTGAACCACAGAAAGAAGGAGGCTGAACCCCTGCAGAGTGGAGCAGAAGCCCCCTAGCCCTGGCCCATTCACTGCTTATGAATGGCACAGAACAACCTTGTGGACCTGTAGTGAGTCAAGTCCCTAAAATTTGGAAGGTAATTTGTCACAAGAACAAGCATTTCCTAACTAATGCATCCAGGAGTTCCCTATCTGATTTTAAGCAACACCCTGACAATGTAGCAAGTAGCATTTAATTATTCAGTGAGAAAGCTGTGCTCAGGAACTCATGAGTTGGTAGAAAGACACAGGATGTATTTTCTACACAATAAATATCTTAGCTACATAAAGAATACCAAAAGCCCAGGAAAAGATGCTTCACATCATTAGTCATTAGGGAAATGTCATGAAAACCACAATGAGATCCCACTTCACACGCACTAGCATGGATACAAAAACAAAAGTAGCAAGTGCTGGTGGGGACAGTAGGGGATTTGGAATTCTAATGTGGAGAAACTGGAACTCTGCTAGGTGGTTGGCACCCATGCAAAATGGCACAACTGCTATGGAAAACAGTTGGGTAGTTCCTCAAAACGTTACACCCAGTTACTATATATGACCCAGCAATTCTATTCCTAGGTGTATGTACCAGAAAAGATTGAAAACAGAGACTCAGGCTCATACTTGGACATGGCTGTTTGTAGCAGCATGCCACACAATAGCCACAAGGTAGCCACAATTGCTGACCCAAAGTTCCCTCAGTAGATGAAAGGGCCTACACCACAGATGCTACTCAGAGATAAAGAGGAATGAAGAGCTGCTTTATTCACTACAACATCTATGAACTTCAAAAACATTACGCTAAATGAAAGAAGGCATTTACTAAAGGCCACATATTGTATGATTCCATTTATACAGAATGTCCAAGCTAGGCGTGGTAGCACATAACTGTAATCCCAGCACTCTGAGAGGCTGAGTCAGGAGGACGGTGGGTATGAGCCCAGCCTGGGCAACTGAGCAATTTAGTGAGATTCTTTCTCAAAATAAAATAATAAATAAAAAGGGCTAGAGTTGTAGCTCAGTGCAAAGGCTCTGTGTTCAATCCCCAGTACTGGAAAAGAATGAGGAAGGAAAGGAGAGGAGGAGGGAGAAAGAAAGGAAAAGAGATATCCAGAATAGGTAAATCCAAAGAGACAAAATGAAGATGGTTCCCAGGATCCAGACGATGGGTGTGGGGGAAATAGGAAGTGACTGCTAACGGGTACAAAAGTTCTTTGGGGGAAATGAAAATGTTTCAAAAGTAGATAGGTGCGGTGGTTGCACAACACTGTGAATTTATTATTCACCACTGTGCTGTACTATTTATTTATTTTGGCTTTTTAAGACAGGGTCTCACTACATAGTTCAGGCTGGCCTTGAACTCACTATGGAGCCCAGGCTGGCTTCAAACCTGCAATGATCCTCCTGCCTCAGCCTCCTGAGTGCTGGGATCACAGGTGTGTGCCACCATGCCCCACTGTACTGTACATTATGAAAAGATTTATTTTGTGGAGAAAGACATCAGAGTAATAAAAGCACAAAGCAAAAAATACAAATGAGTGTTTGCACATGTGCTATTCTTGTGCCGTTATGACCAACATTTTGAAGTCTTAATTGTAACAGCTTTCTTTGCATAGAACAATGTGTACATGACCTGTTTAGTGTTCGTTATTTTTCAATAAATACTTACCCTTCAAATATTTTTAATGTTTATTTTGTGTTAAGTAAACTTCACCTCGAATTTTTAAGATCCCTATTGCGTGGTCTCCCGGGGCTGTGGGCCCTGGTTCTTCTGAGACCCTCACGGGGCAGATGAGCTCAGGAAGGCGCCCCCTTCCTCCCGCCCCCCAGTACCCTCTGCACTCTGTACCCCGCTCCGGGCGGCCTGTCAGCAGTCACGAGCCAGAGTTGGATGGAAAGAATATTGGACGTGGATACTGAAGACGGCAGTGTCCACCCTCCTGCCTGCTTTAAGCGTCCGCTGATACCCATTCCGTCTTCACAAACGCCGAGCTCAGGGCGGCCTGCCGGTCCTTGTTCACCGAGGTGAGTTCCGCAGGGACCCTCCCCCTGCAGACCCTCAGCCACGTCGCCATCGCTGGACAGTTCACCCCAACTCTGCACCCCTCTTCTGCTCACCACAGGGGCCCAGTCCTCGCCAGGTGCTGACCGGGCCTGGACTTCGCAGGCAGAGAAGCCAGAGCTGGGCACCCACAGAGCAGGAAGGCCGGGTGCAGGGGCGCAGGGGCGCAGGGGCCCAGGGGCGCAGGGGCGCGGCTCCCCTCCGCCATCACTCAGCCCTTGGGGACTCGGAGGGTCTGGGCTTGGCTTTGGCCCACGCTCAGGGAGGGAGGGACTCTCCAGCGCCCCAGCTCCCAGAACCCCACCATCGCCCTCGTCTCCCTGTCACACACAAGTCAACTTTCTGCCTCCCCCACAAGGAGTCACTGCTAAAAAGGAAGGGAGGAAGTGCCTGGAGCCGGCGTCTCTCTCCACCAGCGATCCTGGGGACCACCAGCTCTGGGCCTCAGTGTCCCTGGCTGTCACAGTGGAGCAGGACCCCGGCTGAGCACCCCCGCGGGTAAGAGGCGTCCGCACACGTGCGACATCTGGGCGCAGGTCGGCCCTGTAGCCTCCTTACCGGAAAGCAGGGGTCCTGGTGGGCTCTGCGGATGCGCAGCCCAGACCTTTGAAGCGCGGGGAAGAAGAGACCTGCGATCCCCACCCCGACTCCGCTCCGCCCCGCCCAGCTGCCAGCCCAGCCGCTCCCGCCCACCCCGAGCGCCTTCGGCCCAGCACAGCCCGCGGGGAGCAGGGGACTGGGGCGCCGAGATGCAGCCGCGGCTCTGGCTTCTCCTGGCCGCGCAGCTTGCAGGTGAGGCTGGGTGGTGGTCGCGCGGGACGGAGAGAGCGGGGACTTTAGAAACGATGTCTGGAGCACGCCTGTCATCCCAGACCTCAGTAGGTAGGCTGAGTCAGGAGGATCGCCTCGAGTTTGGGGCCAGCCTGAACTACTTATTGAGACTGTCTAAAAAGAAAAAAAAGGGGTGTGGGGAGATAATGCAGAGACCAAAAGCAGCCGCGGGGACACAAGAAGACGGTGGGCAGGCCAGGTCCCGGCAAATGGAAAGGACACTCCTGTGGGAGCCATTGCTGGAGAGCCCCAGCACCAGGCCACCTGTACACAGAAGCCTGGTGGGAAAGGAGAAGCAGAAAAAGGGAGCAGGGAAGAAGTGAAAGGGGCCGGGAGGAAGGATCCAGAGAGGAAGGGAAAGCCCTTATCCAGGGTCCCCGCAGGGACCCATGCACCTCAGAAAGGTACCTGATCCTGGGTGGACGTATGCGGCCTTCATACCCCACACCGGGCCCAGCGGAGAGGCCCAGACGCTTTTCATCGCTTCCTGGAAGTGTTTGTAGTACAGTCGGACCACAGGGACTCTGGCCAGGTCTGGTCAGCTGTGGCGCCGCCCCATGCTCTGTGGTGCCCTGGGTAGCATGGACCCTCACAGAAGGAGGCCGTGGTGAGGCTCAGCCAGGAGAGGGGAATGGACGCTCACCACCCTGCTGGCCTTTGGGGACCCGCCTCTGGGCCTCCTTAGAAGGCTTCCCCATCCCAGTGTCTGCAGCCACTCTGTGCAGGGCAGCGTGCAAGACCCAGGAAAGATCACAGGTTTCCCCAGTTCAGTGGCTCCGAGTCAGGTTCCCGGGTCTCACCACAAGGATTTGAACCTGGATCCGTTACACCTGGGCTGTGTGGCCTTGGGCACATCCTTGCCCTTCCCAAGCTGTTTCCTCGTGTGTAAGATGCTGGAACACTGTCTGTCCCCCACTGGGTGTGGTGAGGATTAAACCAGGCAATGAGTGTACCACACCCCACACGATCCACGCTTGGGCTGTGGATCCCACTGATTCCCCAGGAGGTCAGTGGCCCAGAAGAGTGGGGCCCCCGCCCAACCGAGAAGGCCTGATGGTATTTGGGGAACAAGGAGGAGGCCCAGGAGCCCTGCCAAATGTGCAGATCCCTTCTCAAAGCAAGGAGAGGTCGCGAAGCTCTTCGTTCCTCCATTCATCCCAGTACAACAGGACACAGGTGCCAGTGCAGGGCGCAGCCCCCCTGGGAGCAAGGCCCTGGTCCTCTCTGTGCCTCCCTCTGCTCCAAGCCGAAAGGAAACGTTTGCCGGGTCAGATCTGGGCAGCGCAGGGCCCCTTTCTGATGTTTCTCCTGGAGGTTCAGTAGAGCTAGAAGCAAGCCCCAGCCCCTGAGACGTGTGCAGTGCTTTGCCGTTGGCTGTGTGACTTCTTAGGCATCTTTTCATTTCCTCTTTCTCTTCCTTTTTCTTTAGTACTAGAGTTTGAACCCAGGACCTTCACACTGAGCTAATCTCCAGTGCCCCCACTTTTTTTCCCCCTGAAACAGGGTCTTGCTATGTTGCTAGATTGCCCAGGCTGAGCTCAAAGTTGCCATCCTCTTGGCTCAGCCTCCCAGAGTGCTGCGATCATCCGGCTTCCTTTCATTTCTTTCAAACCCTTCAAGGAGAGCAGAACATCGCCAAGATGCCCGCCTTTCCCAAGGAGGAGACAGAGCCTCTGTGCTCAGTGTGAGGTCACAACTGGTCCAGGGCAGAGACTGGGTTCACGGCTGGGCTTGTGAGTCTTCTCTAGTTCATGATCAAGCCCCTGCCTGCTAGGAGCTTCCACCTGAGGCTGACATGAACCCCAGCCCTGCCTCTGGGCCTCTGTCCTTCCGCAGGGGAATAGGGGCCCAGTGAGCCGTCCAATGCTGGGCTTCAGTCATGCCTGCCAGGGACAGTGAACTCCACTGGCTGTTGTGGGGATGAGGTGGCTGTCCCCTCTGAGGCTGTCTAGTCCAGCCACATGTTCTGCTTGGCACTTGGAGGCCTCTCCCAGCTGGCCCTGGGTCTCCTCAGCTGCTCGGAGCCCAGCGAAGCAAGTCGATGCCACTTCAAGTGGTAGCCTGGTGACATGAAGGGCGACCGGCTTTGGCTTCAGATTTTGGATCCTGGAGTTTGAATCCCAGGCCACTTAGCTGCAAATGGGATTTTGAGCAAGTAACTTCATGCCTGAGTTTGCTTATCTGTGATGGGGATAAGAATCGTAAAGCCAGTTGGGCATGGTAGGGCATGCCTGTAAGCCCAGCACTCTGGGAGGCTGAGGCAGGAGGATTTTGAGTTCAAGCCCAGACTGGGCAATTTAACAACTTAGTGAGAACATGCCTCAAAATAAAAAAGAGGTTGGGGATGGAGCTCAGTGTGAAGACACTGGGTTCAAAAACACCATACAGTACCACAAAAAAAGAGGGAAAAATCCCAAAGCCAGTTTGAGGTGTGGCTGAGGTCATGTAAGCAAAGGGCAGGCATCCAAGGATACAAAGCACAAATGCCAGCAATCGTTCCTATGCCTGCTGCCAGGCTGTACTTAGCAAGTCCTGGCCTTGCCGAGGGCGATCTCTGCATCCCTGTAACCTCAAGGCCCTCCCGAAGCTCTTCCATGACCGCTCACTGATGCTCCCTGCCCCCCTTGGTGCCTTGCAGGTCTCCTCAGCAGCTGTGCCCACCAGCAGACCCCCGGGTCCCTGATGGTCCAGACCAACCAAAAGGTGACAATGACCTGCGAGACTAAAACCTCCCTGAGCAACAAGCGCATCTACTGGCTGAGGCAGCGCCAGGCCCACAGCAAGGACAGTCACCACGAGTTCCTGGTCTCTGAGGATTTCTCCAAAAACATCACCTATGGCAGGGGTGTGACACAGAGGACACTCGCGCTGTTGCGCAGCACCACCCGCTTCACTCTCAGCCTCATGCACGTGAAGCCTGAGGACAGCGGTGTCTACTTCTGCATGACCATGGGAGCCCCCGAGCTGATCTTCGGGACAGGAACCAGCCTGAGCGTGGGTAAGAATGCGGCTCTGCTAGAAATGGGCATTGAAAGCTGTCCATGGTGGTGAATGCCTAAAATCCCAGCACTTGGGAGCCTGAGGCAGGAGGGTCGCTGTGAATTCAAGGCCAACCTGGACTACATAGTGAGTTCAAGGCCAGTCTCAAAGAGAAACACAGCTGGACCCTCCTGTCTCAAAAAACTTTTTTTTTCTTAAAGAAAAAAGTGAGTGTCGAGGAACTGCTGGGTGCCAGGTACATGCCAGGCACTGGGGCTGCTCTGCTGTCATCTGGGAGTAACAGGAAATGCATGCTGAGAATCCCTCGGCCAAGCACCTGCAAGTGCTTTTCATGGCTATCTCAATGCTGCCACTGTCCCTAGCGCAAAGGATGCTATGCTTCCCATTTTATTTATTTATTTTGAGTTTTTCTTTTCTTCTTCTTCTTTTTTGAGATAGAGTCTCACTGGGTAGCTCAGGCTGATCTTGAACTCACTATGTAAATCAGGCTGGCCTCCAACTAGTGGTCATCCTCCTGCCTCAGCTTCCCAAGTGCTGGGACTATAGGCATGCGCTACCACACACAGCTTCCTTTTTCATACAAAGCCTTCAAAGGATATTTTACCTGTCCAGTGCATCTCTTTCCACTCTGTCCGTACTGCATGTACTAGGCAGCACCTGTGGCAAACGGCTGCTGCACTGAACAGTGAGGATTCAGCTATCATGGATGGGAAGGGCTGGCTTGTGGCAAAGTCTCCCAGGCCGTGTTGCGCCATCAGGCTACAGCCCCTTCCCCAGCTTGGCACTTCTTCCCACTCTGGGGACACTGAGAGGGACAAAGGGAACCCAGAAATTAGACCACTCAGCATGGGAAGGTGCAGGGGCCTCCCTCAGGGTGGGACTCCACTGGTTCTTGTATTAAAACTCAGCCTTTGGGATTTGTGTTGTGTTTGCTGCTTTTGTCTCTAAAGCCCCACATCTTCCCAAGAGATCCCAGAACGTGGATCATGAAATAAGCACAACTGGGTTTCAGAATCTTCTCCCCGTGCTGCCTGCTCACTCCAGTGCTCACTCCTGGCCTCCATGTTTCCAAACACCATAATGTCCTGGCACCTAGGGGCCAGGGATTTAGCTCAGTGGCATCGAGCCTGCCTCGAAAGGGCAAGGTCCTGAGTTCGATCTCCGGTACGAAAAAAAAAAAAATCCTGGCACCTGCCTGTCACCCTGGGACAGCACTGCACCTCCCCAGAGCCGGTGCAGGGGACATATCCTCTCCCTGGACTGGGACAGAGGCAGCGCACAACTGTCCTTTCAAGGACAGAGAGGGAGAGGTTACACCGGGGAGTCAGGAGGAAGCAAGTGGCTTACTATAAGCAAGATGTATCTAAAACAGAAGAGCAGGCGGGGCGTGGTAATCCCACCCAGAATACATTCAAATATTTGTAATCCCAGCACTCTGGGAGGCTGAAGCACGAGGATCTCAGTGAGTTTGAGGCCAGCCTGGGCCACATAGTGAGACCCTCTAAAAGGATAAATAAATGAGGCAAACAGAAGCACTTGTGGGGTTGTGAGCACTAAAGGAGCAACCCCCCGCCCCGGGGGGGACTGGTTCCTGGTGCACTCAGAGCTATAGCTGGTGTTGCTTGTCCCCTCACCGTGGTTCCTCAGCATCCTGATGGCTGCTGGCCTTGGGGCCACCTCCTGTGTTTAACTCTGTCAGAAACTTTCACACCAGGAGTGAGTAGTGCCGGTTCCAGAACCAAAGCCTTTGGATTCACATCCCGACTGCAGTTCAAGACCTACCTAATTTGGGCAGGTTATTTCAGCCATCTGAGCCAGGCTCTCCTCATGGATAAAACAAGGATGGCAGTGCCCACCTCAGAAGTTGTAGAGGTGTAAACTGAGATTGGGGGCCTTGGGACCACCTCTGGCCCATTGGGAGCTGAATACTCATTCATTCCAGTTCCTTGGTTCTTCCCGGAAAGAGCCCTGAAAGTGGCCAAGACTACATCAGACTGTTTGTTCTCTCACCACACAGAGGAGGCTCCAGAGGACAGGGCCAAGTCTACTTTGGGTTTTTTGTTTTGTTTTTTTTTTGAGACGGAGTCTGGCTATGTACTCCAGTCTGGTCTTGAATTCACTGTGTAGCCCAGGCTGGCCCCAAACCTGCAGCGATCCTCCTGCGTCAGCCTCCTGCGTGCTAGGATTACAGGCATGTGCTACCATCCTGGCCAAAGTGTCCACTTTGGATATGCAAGATGCCAGCCAGTGATGACCAACGAGTTGGCTGCCCCTCCTGTCCCTGAGCTCTAGAGGTTAAGCTCGAGGTGCTTCTCTATTCCTTCCCCTGCTGCTTTGCCGAAACTCATTTTGTGAGCTATTTCCTTGGCTCTCAAAGGCAAGAGCTGCCGGGCATGCACTCAGCACCCACAGCCCCTCAGAGCCCCAGGGAGGGTCCCTCTGCTCTGCACACTGGTCCCCTCCCTCACCCAGCCCTCAGCGTGGGACACTGGCTCAGGATGAACCAGAAGAGGGGCTGCCCAGGTAAGGAGAGGTCCTGGCCCCAGCCTGGCCCTTGATACAACAAGGCCTCAGGCCCAGCCCTTTCCTCTCTGCTCTGCACTTTGATTAAAGTCTGAGACTAGAGGCCCCTCTAGCTCTATATTATATGATCTTTTATTTTCAGTACTGGGATTGAACCCAGTGCCTTTGCACTGACTACATCCACAACCCTCCTTACCTGCCCTCCCCTTTTAAACTTTGAGACAGGGTCTCCCTAAGTTGGTAAATTGCCCAGGCTAGGATCAAACTTGTGTTCCTCCTGTCTCAGCCTCCTTGAGTGCTGGGATTACAGGCATCGTCACACTCAGCAAGCTCTAGGTTATAAGATTTTTAAGGACACCTGTAAATTCAAATAGCCCCAAGCTGGGACCCTGCATGATATTGCAATGCAGGAAAGAGCTCCCTCTTCTTTTCTTTATGGCTCCTCCTCTAGCCTAGGGGTTGGCAGGAGGGCTGGAAGCCTGGTCATGGTGAGGGCCTGGGGATCCCAGCTCCTGCCATGAGGACACGTGGCCACTGCACACTTTTTGGGGTGCCTTGTCCCTTTTAATTCTCACAACAATCCCAAGAAGGAAGTGGGAATCATCTTTGTTAGAGCAGATGGGGAAACTGAGGCACAGAAAAGCAACAACTTGTCCCAAATCACACCACTGTGTTCCTTAATCAGGAGCACTGGGCTCTGCTCATAGCTCCAGGGCCCTTCTTCTCTGCAGGACACCAAACAACCCCAACCTAGACCCTAGATACATCTGGGAGTTGGGGAAGTGGACCCAAAAGTCCCCTGCTCTGAGACCTGAAGCTCTGTAGCCGCAGGGAACAATGGGTCTCAGAACCACGGTACCAGGATGGAAGGCTCGTGGTGTCACTAAGCCCCTAGCTGAGACACCGGTCTGCTCTTTCTGCAGTTGATGTCCTGCCCACCACAGCCCAGCCCACCAAGAAGACAGCCCCCAAGAAGAGAGTGTGCCCATCGTCCAGCCCGGGAACCCGGCAAGGTGAGTCCTCCAGCCCTCCCTCCCACCTTCCAAATGTGCTGGTCTGGTTTCGAGTCTGTAGCCTGTTCCTCCAGTGCCAGGCTGGGGTCAGAAGGGACACAGTGCAACAGCAGCACGCAATCCACTATGGTCAGACTCCCAGGTCACCACAGAAAGGAACTTAGAGAAAAATCTGTCCACCAAAGCACCTGCACACGACCCCGCACAGCACCGTTGTTCATAACAGCCAAAAAGTAGAAACGACCTAAGCATCCACTGACTAATAACTGGATCCATGAAATGCGGGCTCTGCTACAACGGAGCAGTATTGCTTGGCCGTAACAGAGAATGAAGTACTGATAAATGCTAAAGTTCAGATGAACCTGTGGACTGTTATGCAATGACAGAGGCCAGTCGCAGACAATACTGTGTGAAGCGAAGCATCGGGGTGCATGCCTGTAATCCCAACACTCTTGGATGCTGAGGCCAGAGGACTGCAAAATCAAGCCCTGCCTGGACAACTTAGAGACTTAGGATCCTGTCTCAAAATAATTTTGTTTAAATAAGGAAGAGGGATATAGCTCAGTGAGAAAGCTCTGGGTTGACTTCCATAGAGACAGAAAACAGATGAGTGGCTACTTGACTGAAGAGGAATGTTGAAGTGACCCTAATTGTTCCAGGTGTCTCTCTGGGATGGTGGAAATGTTCTAAAGTTAGGTTATGGTGATTGTGGCACAATGCTGTGAAGATACTAAAAACCATTAAAGTGTCTAAACCATTAGTGTCTGAACAGGTAGACAGTATGATATGCAAATTCTGTCTCAGTAAAGCTGTTAACAATCAAAAATCTAAGCCAAAGGACCAGCACTTTAAACTTTTCCAGTTTTGCTGCCTCACAGAACACGCAGCACACAAGATGGGGTTTCTAATACATTTGTCAGAGAGCGCACACACCTGCCCCTGCACTGTAAGCATCAGACCGCTCGGTTGGGGTGGGCACATACATGTGCGCACGCCTGCACACGCACATATGTGTACATGACACATACATCCCTTGAACCCATCAGCTCAGATGCATTTCTGGAAAAATACTGACTTAGTCCCCCGAAGGTTTCTGGTGGCAAACAGAAAGCACCATCCACCGCTACCCAAAGAAGAAACCACACGCAGCAGCCCCGGGACCGCCTTGTGCACTGCACAGACCTGGACGATGGGGGTGAGATGCTGCCACAGGAGGTCAGGGTGAAAAGAAAATTCTAACCCAGCACCCTGGGAGGCTGAGGCAGGAGGACTGAAATTTGAGCCAAGCCTGGGCAACTTAGTGAGACCCTGTCTCAATATAAAATATAAAAAAGGGCTAAGGATGTAGCTTGGTGCAAAGGTCAGGGGTTCAATCCTTAGTATGGGGAAAGACAAAGACAGACACAGAAGGAGACTGAGACATAGAGGGAAAAAATTAGAGGCCATGAACGGAAAAGCAAAGTGACCTTGTTTTATAACATGATGTTCCCCGACAACTTCACCTAAAGGATTTCAGGCAGGCTACTATTGAAAAAGTCACAAAACACAAATATATTCAGGCCATTAAGGTGAGGCTGCAGGAGAAGCCAACAAAGTCAAGAAATAAAGGACCTGCTCTCTCGGGGACCTGCAGAGGCCTCACTGGCCTCCAGCTCTGTCCTCAGAAGGAGGGGACCCTGCTGCCCTGTGCCCATCACTATCATTTTTTGAACTTTGTGGAGATATAATCTGCAGAGCCTAAACTTCACCCATTCTAAGCATACAACCTCGGTGAGTTTAGTGAGCAGACGGGTCATGTAGCCAGCACCACATTGCAGGTTTAAGACACCTCGCCACTTGTGTGTCTGCAGGTGGTCTCCATCCCAACCTCGACCGCCACTAACCCACGTTCTGTCTCCCCTGGAATCTCCAGCAAAGAGAATTGGCAGGGCTCCTGCTTTGGTCTTTCAGCATGGCCTCTTTCACTTGGTCCCATGATTTGTGAGTCCTTCAAGTTGAGGTCTTTCAAGTGAGAGAGGGCCAGGCAGAGAGCCTTTGAGTCTTGATGTTTAGAAACTGCAGAGTGAGAGAGAGAAAAATAATGGTAACCCCTTCCTCCCTCACAAGATGAAAATCGGCCGTCGGACCGGCCCTTGGCAGATCATGAGGATTCAGTGACATTCTCGCCCTCCCTGACATCCAAGATGCTATTTCCAATCTGCAGCCTTGTCCTTGGTTCTGGGCCTCAGCTGCTCAGCAGGACACCCACAGGAGCCCGCAGGCCACCAGACAAGGACTGGGGCACCAAGAATATAAACCCTGCAGCTTAGGTAGCATGCACATTGGGCAAAGGAGCAGAGAGCCAACCCACAGGAGAAAAAGCACACCGGCACCAGTACATGCAGTAGGCTTCAGCTCAGACTTAATCGGGGAAGGGAAGCAAATGTGCATGCGCTCTCTCTCTCTTTCCTGGGAAAACTGAAAAGCAGATGACATTAAAGGCCTGTGTTAAGGGGCGCTGTGTAGCAGGTAGGAATGGAAGTCAGTGCCGTCTTCTCTGAAGGCACTTGACTGGATCTCTTATGATTTGAAATGGACAGAGCTGTGGCTTCACAGTCCCTGTTTCCAGTGTCTGCCTCCGGAAGGCACTTGCATCCGGGAGGAGAGTGTGGTGTTCTCTGTCCTCTGAAGGGTTCTTTGGTTTTTGTTTTTGTTTTTGTTTTGTAAGATAGGGTCTCGCTGTGTACTTCAGGCTGGCGTCAAACTCATGGCAATCCTCCTGCCTTGGCTTCTCAAGTGCTGGGGTTACAGGTGTGCACCACCACACCCAGTAAGTTTTTATTTTTAATTTTCAATTCTTATTAGTATGTTCACAGTACATAATTATTATATTCATTATGGGGAGTTGGTACACGTACATGACACATTTTGTTCTTTTTACATCTCCTTCCCCTCCCTTCCATCCCCTTCCACCTCTTGTCCCCTTCCTATTTTCAGTTTTTGTGAAATTTACATGTTTTTAAAATAAATAGTTTTTTAAAAATGTCATTACTATGCAGGAGAATTGTCCACCTGAACATAAATAGCTTCCGAGTTTAATTACTCTTTTAAAATCTGGATGTGAGACATGAAAATTTTTTCCATAAAATTATTTCACTGGTGTCTAAAGAGCCTACAAAACTGAGAAGGAAATTCACTACAGCACGGAGGGCCGTGAATTAACAAGACACATGTTTGAGTGGGTATTTCAGCAGACTGTGCCTCAAACAAGGTGTCAAGACCTCCCATTGGAGGAGAGATGTCATAGCGTGGTGTGGCCTGGGAGACATACAGGTCGCGGGTGTTTCAGCTTCCTGGCAGAGTGTAGCTGGGTACGGCTGCACACTTGGATGTCTGCGTAATCAAAGTTGCTGTCCTGCCAGGAGTGGTGGCACACGCCTGTAATCCCAGCACCTGGAAGGCCAAGGCAGGAGGATCATTGCGAGTTCGTGGCCAGCCTGGGCTACCTAGTGAGTTCAAGGCCAGGCTGAACTACATAGCAAGACCCTGTCTCAAAAAATAAAAACAAAATCAAAACAAAACAAAAAAAGAAATGCCATGGAGAACAGAAAAAGGGGAAAAAAAGAAAGGATGCAAAGGAGAAGGAAATGCACCAAAATATCCCTGGTGGTGTCCTGGAGGGGCCTTCCCTCGGCAACTTTCCCCCATGTCTGTCTGTGTGTCTCACATGTTCAGCGTCAAGCACATGTCATGGTGTCTCTTCCAGGCCTGCACTGTGGCCTCGTCACCCTCAGCCTGCTGGTGGCCAGCTTTCTGCTCCTCCTGCTGTCCCTGGCTGTGGCCGTCCACCTGTACTGTGAGTTGCCCCTCCCCAGGCTGCCATGGTGACCCTGTCTGCTGTCTGAAATGTCCCTGGGTTTACTTTTTTCTCTAGAAGAATGCAGTGGATGGCAGCCTGCTTGAAACCTGGCCCAGAGAACTCAGTTCTGGAAGGGATTCTATTTGTCTTTGGGGTTTGGGGTTTAGGGGTGCTGGGATGAACCCAGGGTCTCGTGCATGGTAATAACATGCTATACCACTGAGCAACACCCCCAGACCCTGAAACGATTCCTGGGTCTCTGCAGTCAGATAAATCTGAGTTTGAGTCCAGTGCTCCTGGTTCCCTCTTTAGTGACCTGGCCTCAAGCTCGGGCCCAGCACCCTCACCCAGCCAGGTGAGGCAAAGTGAGTCCCTCCCCGAGCACCAGGCATGGGGCATGTGCTGGGTAAGTGGTGTGAACACAGGCCCAGTGCCCAGGAGAGGTTGTCAGGGGTTGAGCAGGGTCCCCAGAACTCTTCCCCTTGCTGAGGGAGCAGGGAACCCAGACTGGCTGCTGCCCTTGGCCAGTGCAGGTAGACTTGCCTCCTCCCATGCACTCCCAGGCTCTGCATGCCTCGGCCTCCTAACACAGGCAGAGAGGAGCCCGGCTGGCCCTGGCTCTTCTGCTCACCTGCGCCACCTTGAGCCACCTTCTCTCTGGGTTTCTATACAATGGGGTGGGGGCCCTGAGGGACATAGGCTGATCAGTGGCTCTTAGCTTTTAGCAGTCAAGGAGCCCTTTGCATATATGGTGACCAGTGAGGACCCTCTTCTAAGAGAAATGAACCTGTACACATGCAGTTTTGCATCCCAGGCCCCCCAAGGGATCTATGCACCCAGTTCTAAGAATACCATTAAAGTTCCAGAGTCTAAACTTTTCTGAGTAAGGGCCTTGGCTGTGAAAGAACTAAAAATTGTTACCACTAACTGCATTTAGCTATGCTTATTTATTTAGTATATTGTGGGTGTTATTGGTTGTGTTTTAAGGATAAAAAGTAACAAAGGATGAGATAAAACGTAAATAGAGCTGACATGATGGGACAGGTCTGTGGACCCAGCACTCTGGGAGGCTGAGGCAGGAATATTACAAGTTCAGGCTCAGCCTGGGCAACTTAGCAACTTAGCCAGATCCTGTCTCAAAGTAAATGAAAAAGGGCTCAGGATGTAGCTCAGTGCAAAGGCCTTGGGTTCAATCCCCAGCGCTGCAAACAAACAAACAAAAAAGTAAGCAGACCTGCTGCTGTGTCCTTCCCATGTCCCAGGAGGAAATCTTGCTCCGCCTGGACACACGTGCTGTGGTTTGAGCCTGCCACCTGCGTAATTTCTCGAATCTGACCTGCTGCAAAGGGTGAGAGAGCACACTTATGGATAGACTGGTAACTGTGGGGGCTTCACCACTTCCTAGCAGCATGTCTTTGGGCAAGTGACTCAGAAACTCATTCTGTGCCTCAGTTTCTCCGAATGTAGAATGGACATAGTAGTAGTACCCACATTACAGGTTTACAATGAACATGAAGAGGACAAATGTGGGAAGTTCTCAGGGCGGAGCCTGTGTTGACTAACCCACCCCCACTCTGCACTGTCCTGCTCGGTGCCAGGGTCCCTGCAGCTGACTATGCCCTTGTTCTGCTCTTCCAGGCCTGCGGAGGAGAGCGAGGCTTCGCTTCATCAAACAGTGAGTATTGTTCCCAGGTGACCTGGTTCCAAGGCCCCTGTTGCTGCTGTGTGCAGCCTCAGATGACACCTTCAGAAAATTATCAGCAGAGGAGGTGACAGAATTCAGGAAAAGAGCTGATTTAAACAAAATGCTGTGTAATCACCTAGCAAACATATCTTTTGTAAAGTGAGATTCAGTTCTGAGCCCTGCTGCCAACAACTGTCAACCTTGTGCATGCCAAGTACCAGAGGGAACCCAGATTCTCTGCCCCCTGGAGTTTCACACACCAGGTCCCTGAATGGAAGTTATCACCCCACTTTACAGAGTAGTGGAGAGACGCATCAGTTCCTGGAGACCATGCCTGTCCTTCCCCATCTGCTGCTCTCCACCCCACCTGGGTCCCAGTGGTTGACAAAGCCACAGACCGCGCTTCAAAGCCCAGGGGCTGAAAATCACCTCTGAGGCCCCTGTGCCTCATAGGCCCAGCTGAAGCAGAGGCTACTGGAGGGCAGAGGCTACTGGAGGCCAGAGGCTGTGCTGCTCCTGCCTCAGGGTTAGGACCCCAGCCCCTGCCTCACCGGATTTGTTTTTCTTCCTCAGTGAATCTGTTTCATATCTGCCTCCCTCACTGACTCACATGATCCTCAGAACACCCCCCATTGAGCCACATGTGATGGCACATGCCTATAATCCCAGCAATGAGGAGGCTAAGGCAGACGGATTGCTGAGAGTTTGAGACCAGCCTGAGCTACGTAGTGAGTTCAAGGCCAGCCTGAACTTCATACTGAGACTGTCTCAGAAACACAACCCCCCCACCCAGCCATGTGGAAATGTTTGCAGGGATAAAGGAATAGCATCTTAATGAAAGAGGGCAACAGGGTGTGAAGTCAAGGGTTCTGGCTCCAAGGAGAGGCAGGGCTGGGTCTGAATTCTGATGGCCCCTCACTGACCGTGTGACTGTAAGTGAGCCACGTCACCTGTCTAAGCCTCCAATTATTTCACATCTGTGAAATGGGGTGACAGTACCCACCTCCTGGCTTTTGCAAAGACACTGGGGAGGCTGTGGAGCACATGTCTCTATCCCCTGGAGTCAAAGCACAAGCTTGTATAGAGTGAAGTAAATGCACCCCTAGGGGTCCAGCCATCAAGAAGCAAAATGCACTTTCCAGTCCTCTGAGGTTGTAGTTTCTGCGTGAACTCTCACAACTGGATGCTGGGTTACACACACTGTGTGGCTGAGGGATGTGCCTGCTGTACATCACAGGCAACTTTCAATGATTCATCAATGGTGTGCAGTTGTGACCTCAAGGGTTGACTTAGAAACAGCCCCCTACCTTACAGATGACAAGGAGAGTGTATCGAAGGCTACCTGCAGGAACTTCCATCCAAAATCTTCCCTGGGTGACTTTTTCTGGAGAGTGAGCCCCGCTCTGGGCCCTGCCTGAGGTCTGTGTCACACACCCTTTCATCTTAACTAGCTCCCAGTTTGGAGACCCTCTCCTCAGAGAAATGAACCTGTGTGTGTGTGCACAGTTTTGACTCCAAGGTCTTCCCAAGAGGCCCCCCATCCTAGGACACCGTTAACATTCAAGTGTCTAAGTTTTTCTGAGTAAGGACTTCATTCATGAAAGAACTAAAAATTGTTACCACTAACTGCAATTAACTATGCTTATTTATTTAGTATATTGTGGATGCTATTGGTTGTGTTTTAAAGATAAAATGTAAAAAAAAAAAAATAAGATAAAAATGTAAATAGAGCTGATGTGATGGTGCAGGTCTATGATCCCAGCACCCTGGGAGGCTGAGGCAGGAGGATCACAAGTTCAGGCTCAGCCTGGGCAACTTAGCCAGATCCTGTCTCAAAATAAGAAATGTAAAAGGTCTGAAGAAGTGGGAAGGCCTTGGGTTCAATCCCCAGCACTGCAAACAAACAAAAAAGTAAGCAGACCTGCTGCTGTGTCCTTCCCATGTCCCAGTGGGAAATCTTGCTCCTGCCTGGACACACACGCTCAGATGAGGCAGGGAGGGTGGTCACATGGGGCCCTGAATTCCCCTCACCCCTTCACTCAGACGGGCTCTTCTTTCAACTATTTGTCTGGGTTTACCCTACCTGGGAGATGACTTTTGAACAAAAGAGCCTGTGGCTAAAACCAAGCTTTAAAACCACTTCTGGTTTGCTCTCATGATCCAGGTGTGGATGAAACAGTCCCTGCGCCTTACAGGTCAGCTGTTCTGATCGCAGATTGCAATTTGAGGTAGCTGCTCCCCAGCCTCTAGCTGTCCATACATCCTCCCATCAGCAGGCCAGTTCTCTACTCCAGTACTGTGTGTCTGTGGATAGCTTGTCTTGGTCCTATAGAAGCAACACTGTTCAAAGCTACAGCTCTTTGGGCTCTTTTTTTTTTTTTTTTTTTTTTGGAGGGGTTTTTTTTTTTTTTTTTTTTTTTTTTTTTTTGGAGGAGGGATTTCTTTTTTTCTTTACTTTTTAGCTTTTTATTTTTTAATGCCTAAATTGGGCCCTAAACAGGCCAACACAAAAGCCTTAGCCCTAGGCTACTTAGAAGAGAACCCTGCAAAATGCAGTATCATTTTCTTGAAAATAACTGGTCTTACAATAACTGGTCTTGCTGTTGTTTCCAGGTTCTACAAATGAGCAGAGGCTATGCTCTTGGTGTCCTGCTACAAAAAGCCATTGGTCAGGAATGAGCAAGATCTGCACAGAGGAGAGAGAAGGGAACATGCTCAATGGTGGAAATTTCACTGGCTTTCTCGAGCTGCCTGCTTTCAACTGCTGCAATTCTTTCTGGGGGCTTCAGGCCAGAACCCTTCTGTGTTTGCCATTAACAGGCTTAGAGGGAAGGCTCTGGAGCCCAAGGGCTCTTCAGAAAGTGCACTGGAGGACTGAGAATATCATCAAAGACACCACCTCTGGCTCCTGTGCTCTCCCCAGGCTGGGCAGGGTCCTTGCAGCCACCATCTCTGCATGTTGTTTTGCCCTAGTATGGCAGGGACATTGGGTCCCGGGTCTGTTATGGGATGGAGCTGGGATGACAACCTGCCCCAGAGGCCACTTGTGAATAAGGCTTTCAGAGAAGGAATTCCCAGCAGCCATGGGAGTCTCCTGGCTGGGAAACTGGGGTTGGGGAAGGAATCTCACTCCATGGCTTGTATGTTTCTCTCACTCTCTGTCTTTTTATGAAAATATCTCAGTTGTAAAAATAAAGTCTTCGTTTAAAGATGCAAATGACTTCTGTGACATAAAGGGACAGAAGCTCACCCACAGCAAAGATACTGATGCTCAGTGCAAAAGACACAAAGACAAAATTTATAGATCTCTCTTTCAAATCTGAGATCCTTGTTCATCCCACAAAGTGCTGCAGGTCACACTGTGGGTGTAGAGATGCTGGAGGACTCAGGAAGCACTCGGGGCACTCACAGCCAGGCCACCGAGGCCTTGGACCATCCCTCCTTCACTAGACTGCTCCTGGGGCTGGGTCCGGGGACTCCTGGGTTCCCAGCAGCCTTGCACCAGAGAGAGGGGACAAACTTCAGAACCACTGTCCATTCACTTGTTTACCAGCTATCAGCCTTGGTGGTCAAAAAAGGAACAGGCAAGGAGAAAACGCTGAGCTGGAGTGGGGAGTGGAGGAGAACGCTGCCTTCTGAAAAAGCCCCAGATCTCTTAGCACTTGCCCTGGCAACAGCAACCGAGGAGCTACTGAGCTCTAAATCACTGCAGCCTAAGCCATGTTCTCAGAAGCACCAGCCCCGAGCAGAACTGAGTCTGTCCTGCTTTTCCTGCAGCCTGGAGGACATTGGCAAACTAGATGATTTTAGAGGCCTCCAGCAGCTGCCAAATGTGAAAATGTTCCAGAAAGCAGGGGAGGCAAGAGGACTGCAGGAGCAGAGGCAGCATGGCCACCTCCAGCAGCCCAGGTGCAGCTGCAGCAGCAGACTGGCTGTGATGGGTGAGGGTTAGGAGGGGGCAATGCAGGAGGTGGTCAAAAAGCAAACGCTTTTTTTCTGCCCATCAGCTCTGAGCACAAGTGATGCCACCTCCAAGGATGAGGGGAGAGGGAGAAGGGGTCAGGGCAGGCAGACCAGGCTTATCCAGTGTGGGCTCCTAGCACAGACCATGCTGAAGAAATGGTAAGACCAAGGCCCAGCTGCTCACACCCAGTCCACAGAGGAAGGAAGAGCAGGCCTCAGGGCCCCACCAGGGCAGGTGCCAGGCATCTCCCTGCTGCTTTCTCTGCACTTGCATTCACTTGTTTACACATTCCAGTGGGGCTGGCTTGGAGGGCAGAGCTGGCTCACTCAGGCCCCACCCTCTATTCTGCACAGGAGGCAGCTGCTGAGGCAGTGGGCTCTGCTCTGGCTGCCCAGGGAGCCCAAGCAGCCTCGGTGCCAGCATTGGGGGCTGCGATGTGGTCTGCACCCAGCACCTGTGTTTGTTTTGAACAAGAAACTGAACAGTTACTACAGTCTGGAGGGCCACTGTGGCAATAGGTATCGGGAGTGGCCTGTAATCCCAGCACTCCGGAGGCCAAGACAAGAAGATCGCCTACATTCGGGGTCAGCTTAGGCTACATAATAAGTTCAAGGCCAGATTGAACTATATATAAGCAAGACCCTGTCTCAAAAAAAAAAATTTAATCTAGCTCTCTTCTGACTAGCAATTCCACTTGCAGGCATTTATCTTAAACATGCCAAAGTGGCTGCATATAAAAATATGCATCAAATTGTTCCATGTGGTTCTGCTTATTAACCAAAATTTGGAGGAGCCAGAGATTTAGCTCAGTTGTTTTGCTGCCTGCTGCGCAAGCGCAAGGACCCGAGTTTGATCCCCAGCACCAAAAGAAAAAGGGGGGGGGGATTTAGCTCAGTGGTTTCGTCCCCTGCTGCACAAGAGCAAAGACCTGAGTTCGATCCCTGGCACCAAAAAAAAAAAAAAGATCCCTACATAAATGAGAACATTTGGTCCATTCACATTAGCTGTAATGAACCAGTTAGATAAATTAT